AATCCCAGCATTTTGGGAGGCTCAGACAGGTGGATCACTTGAGGTCAGGAGTTCAAGACCAGCCTGGCCAACATGGTGAAACTTCATTTCTACTAAAAATACAAAAATTAGCCAGGTGTAGTGCACACGCCTGTAATCCCACCTACTCAGGAGGCTGAGGTGGGAGAATGGCTTGAATCTAGGAGGGAGAGGTTGCAATGAGCTGAGATTGTGCCACTGCCACTCCAGGCTGGGTGACAGAGACTCCCTTCCCCCCCCAAAATATCCCACAAAAGTGCTTAATAAGTGCTCAAATAAGTTAGTTATTGTAAGAATATTGGTACAGGCAGTGGCAGGAAGGTCATCTGTAAGAAGCCTTGCAGAGTAGAGAGGATGAGCTCTGGTGACCATCTGGATACATGGAAAAACAAGGGTCAGTCAGGAGGAGAATCACTGATAACGTTACATTCCTCCTCCCACATTCTCCAAAATATGCATGGCACACACACACAAGCACACATGCTTGTACACACACACACACACACATGCCATCATAGCCCCTCCATTCTTCAAATGGTAATCAAGAAAGATAAATAAAGTGGAAAAAAAGATTAGGAATTCTTTCTTCAACAGAATGCATTGGAAACTGTGGAAATAATCTTCATGTGAAGACACTTAGAAGCTGAACATTTGGGTCTTGAATTCTAGAGAGGCAGAGCTCAGGATACGGTTTCAGTGGTCATCCACATTGATGTAATAGTCAAACAAGTGTTAAGATAAGAATCACAAGTGCAAAGGTTCAGATAAAAAGAGCATATTTAACAAAACAAAACAAATAAAACCAAAACTAGAGAAGCCTGCTTGAACACAGGCAAGAAGAAGAAGAACTAGGGAATGAGGGAGGCTGAGGTGTCTGTGAACACAGACAAGGAATTTAGACACAGCAGTGCCATGGAGACCACTGATTTCTAAGGAGACTGTTCATTGGTGTCAAACACAAAGCTCAGTAGAAGAGGACTGGGAGGCAGCAATTACTTTGGGTTTTAGGGAATAATTTAAGAGGCAGGGCCAATCTGGCAATTGTCCATATACAAGTAAAAATCAAAGACAGGCAAGAGAAATTAAAGGAAGCAGAGGAGAGGGAGAGTGTTAAATGATGAGAGCTGAGAATCTTGGAAAGCTGTCTTACAGCACAGAAGAAGGTGGAGAAGCCCCCACACTGTGAAAGAGCCACAGTTTTGGTGACTAGCAAGTCACCCTGAAAGCAGGACAATTGTCCAATTCCTTCAACGAACTGCTGGTATGGAAAAAAGTGTACTTTTTGAGAGTCATGAAATGGAATGGTTCCATCTTCGAGTTGTACATTTGTGAATTTAAAACGCTGTGAGTACATATATAAATTTTGCAAAAGGGCCTGTTCCATATGGTGAGCTCAGTCCCTTAGGAACTGAATTATCAAAGCTCCTATGTGATGTAAGGAAACAAAAGCCATGCAATTAAATTAGATCAGGGTGGTGGGTAGAGAAACAGGAGCCAGGTGTGCTGAGTTCCACCCAAGAACCACGAGTCTCCTTAGACAGACCAGCCTCAAAAATGCTCAGCTAGATGCTGGATGAAAATCTAGATACACATTTTCCCCACCATGCGTTCATTCCATGCCCATCCTGAGGCCTAGTCTAGCACGCTTTCTAAGTAGCACATTTCCAATCATAAAACTGCTCTGGGAAGACCGATTGTTTTAGATGGAGAGTTTTACCTTGTCTTTTCTTTCAAAGGCAAGCTATTATATTCATTGCTTAAGAAAAGTCTCAGGCGCCCCTGAGAAGTTCCTGTGTGACTGTTGCTGTCCCTTTGTTCATTCCAGCTGATATTTTTCATGACATGCATGTTTACTGGTCATAAGCAGGCAGCTGGGAGGTCTGTCCCAGGTTGTCTCCAGAGGCTGGGGAGTGAGGTCTAATGACATCAGGGGCAGGACTGCAGTGACTGACTCATGTGAGCAGTTAGCGTCGAATTCCTTCATGGCCACGCTCACATTGCAAACATATGGGAGGATGGAACTTCCTAACTCCACCCTGCAGTGTGGTTTAGTCTACAACAATTGATCCTTGCTCTGTCCTCTATTTCTGCTCTCCACCATCGGCAGCAGGTTGTGCAGCTGGGCTCCAGAGGCAGGGCTCAGCAAAGCTTCCTGCCCTTTCATGGCAATGCAACCACATTCATCAAGAAAGGAAAAAGAATTCCAACCTGCAGAGCCAAAAGGTGAGGGCAGCTGAATTCCATGCCTTTTAGTGTCTGCAATCTATGAACAGGAACCAAGCTGCAAACTGCAGGCATGATCACACCTAGCCGGGTTTGAAACAGCTTTCCACTTCTCATTTCTAAGTAATCGGGATTGAAACATAAAAGCTTTTCTGTTGGTTAAACGGTAAACAGTTATTGTCCCTTCATTTGGGGACAACGGTTGAGTTTCTGACACACACAAAACAAGCGTTTAAAGTAGGCTCTGGGTAACCCAGAAAAAAGGATCAGCAGGGTTTCATCTTCAAGTAAAAACAGAACCAGTCTGCAGAAACCCATAGCAAGTGTTCTGCATTCTGATCAGCTTTGATCATATGGTCAGTATTTGATTCTCTCAATCCTCACTGCTGGTCCTTACATAGGAACCAGAGCTGCTGGAGGGTTAAAACAGAGGTCCTGCTAGCCACAAACAAGATTCTCAGAGGCGATTCTGGGGAACCTGTGTGGAAATGGCTCTATGTGACAGGAACAGAACTCTCAGCACCATGGAACTCCAGTGTGAAGGCTAGACATAGCAAAAACAGATATTCAAGGAGCAAAGACATTGATGAATGTCTCCGCAAAAGAGAATAAGAAAGTAATAAAAGGCAAATGGTGCTGTAATATTTAGTCCATGCTTCACGATTGGCATGACTCAATCTGTCTCCATGTGGCTCCGGTTTACATATAAAGTGGCGAAATAAACCTCAAAATCCTAGAATTTCTGAAATAGTGACACAGCTTTCAATTCAAGTCACACATCATTTCTGACATAAAAATAACAGCAGTTGAGTACGTGAGAGGCCTTTTCCTCCAGAAGTGTAGGCTCTGATCCCACAATGTCATCACTCATATTCCAGTCCAGAATGACACAGATCTTCTCCCAGCATTTCCAGCTAGATCTACTGGCCTCTTTTATGGTTCTAAATTTACCCCATATAGAAAGCAGAATGGTGGTCCCCTAAAGATATCTGCATCCTAGCCCTCCAAACTTACATCAAGTTACATGGAAAAGGGAGAGTAAAGGTTGCTGATCAGCTGAACTTGAAAGAGAAAGATTTTTCTGGAGTATCGGGTAGGCTCAAAGTCTTCAAGTGTCTTTAAAAGTTGGCTGGGTGCGGTGGTTCACGGCTATAATCCCAGCAGTTTGGGAGGTTGAGGCAGGTAGATCATGAGGTCAAGAGATTGAGACCATCTTGGCCAACATGGTGAAACCCCATCTTTACTAAAAATTCAAAAGTTAGCTAGGTGTGGTGGTGCGCATGTCTAGTCCCAGCTACTTGGGGGTCAGAGGCAGGAGAATCCTCGAACCCAGGCAACGGAGGTTGCAGTGAGTCGAGATTGCGCTACTGCACTCCAGCCTGGTAACAGAGCAAGACTCTGTCTCAAAACAAACAAACTGAAAAACAGTGGATGTGGGAGGGTTAGAGATGTGACCACGGAAGCAGGGTCAGAGGGAAGCTATCTTGCTGGCTTTGAGGATGGAGGAAGAAGACAGCAAACCAAGAAATGTCAGTGGCCTCTAGAAGCTGGGGGAAAAAAAAGAATTCTCTCTAGGGCCTCCAGAAAAGAATGCACACCTGCTGGTAACCCCTTATGTCAGATCAGCGAGACTTATGTCAGTCCACAGACTCCAGAACTGTAAGAGTGTAAATCTGTGTGGTTTTAAGCCACTGAATTTGCCATAATTTATTACAACAGCAAGAGGAAACTAATACGTGCTATCAGGAGCAGAGACAGCCGCACTCAGAAGCGAAACTACAACTCCAGGACAGAATAGTGTCTGGGTTTCTTTAGCAATAAAAGGTAATCATTTATTTTTTTCTAGTTAAACTTAAACATCCAGCCAAGTGCTAATCTGTAGAAAAGATGAGAAAAAATGGCACAGTGTCTTCTAAGGGGGGGGGGGGAGAGAGAGAGAGAGAGAGAGAGAGAGTGTGTGTGTGTGTGTGTGTGTGTGTGTGTAGAGGGTGTACAGCTGAGAAGCTAATCTTCTTTTTACCTCCCATTTTTGCTACAGAGGAATGTAGCATTATTTTTAGAAACTCAATCCCTTTCTAGTGGACCAGCATTAATGTGATCTTAAATCTGCTTTTTCAGTTTCTCCTTTTCCTTCAAAACATCCCTGCATGCTTTGAATGTTCAGATAATCTCCCGAGACAATCTAAATCTAGAGATTTTTAGTTCCCAAATCATGCAGATTTTTGTATTATGCCCTCAACATGGTTCAGAGAAGATCTGATAATATTTAAGACAGCACAACAACAAAATTCTTCCAGGGTAGCCCCTGAATTAGGTGAGAAATTGAACTAGAATGTTAGGACTTGGAAGAGCTAATGTAAGAACACGAATAGATTTTCCATGCAATTGTGTATCTTGTTGTTTGCCTGATTATATGTTAGTTTTGCTTTATTGGAAGAAAAAAATGCAAGAGATCTTCTGAGCCGGTTAATGTATTATGGACTAGGAACACTTTTATAGGAAGATTTTCAGAATTTTAAAGTGAGGACATAACTCCATACTTAAAGATCAATTAGGATGTGTCAAGCCTTATTTTAATCCCTTTTGTCCTAAATAACCAGGAAATCTCTACCAAGAACAAATAACGATCCCCCAGGTGAGATGAGTGTGGAGCACCCCCCAACACTTGGTTGTAGAGTATGATTACATCAGGAGTACAAGCAAGAGGAACGAGGCATTGACCCACTGAATAAAATTCAAAACAGGACAGAAACACTTACCCTCATGTCTCCGTTCATCGTTTTTGGTGTGTGATTAAATGCATGTGCGGGATCCTTGTTGTACACTTTGAGGAGTGATCTGTCTTGAATGTTCCTGGAATCAAAAACATCAATAACTATGGCAGATGAAAGAAGCCTGACTTTGGCCATTTTCTTAGCCTGCCCTTAAAGATCAGGTAAAAAACATGAACAGACAATCCAAAGGCTATCTACAATACTCCAGTCAAAAGTTACAGGACCATAAAATAGGCAATTATAAATAAGGAAAAGAAGAAGAAAAATGACTTCAGCTTTTCTCTCGTTTTCTCATTCCTCAGGAAAGTATTATTCCTCCAGTACAGCTCCCCACCCATAAATATTGGGTAGCATGAACTTTCTTTCAAGATTCCGAATATGGAAAGCTAACACTTAAAAAAAAAATAAAGTTCCAATATTTACAATACATTCAAAGAGATTTGGTTAATATTTAAATATTTAATTGTTTACTTTTCCCAAACACCTGGTTCGCTTCTTATCTAATGAATGCACATGAAAGAATTTTTTTTTTCTTTTTTTTTTTTTGCCTTCAAACACTTTCGGCAAGGGAAAGAAAAGGTATCTTTAGTCCAGAAAAAAAAGAAAAAACAAAACAGTACCACAAAGATATAAACTAATATCTTTACCATGCCTTTTTTCCTTCCACAGTGGATTAGAAAGTAGTTTTTCTATATACAAATTGAATTGCTGGATCTGAAGAAACAGCAGCAGATAAATTCTTTTTTCTCTGACCCCAGCTCTTAGAGCAAGAAGATACCATAGCAAAAGACAGGGTCAGAGCCTACCGTAAAATTATTGAAGAGCACATGAATGTCTACGAAGTCCTTCTCTCTCCATGTTCAGCTTTCATCACCAGAAGGGCCACCCAAGGCCCTGTTGTCTCTGTCTACACTGTGATCCCTTCCAACGCCAGCTCGGCTAGCTCAGAGAAATGTGTGCAGGAGGATGAATTCCTCTCCTCCAGGTGCAGCCTCATTTAGTGGGCTGACCCAATCGCTGGAATTACTGGCTTGTGTTTTTGTTTTAACTGAAGTGGAGGATTCTTGGACTAGTCTTTTTTCTCTCCTTTAAATACCTGCCAGTAATTGCTTTGAAGCAATGACTAGCCCAAGCTTGCACAGTTGCTCCAGTAGCTTGTTAGAAGTCAGCTTCAGGGGGAGCCAGCAGCCCCTGTTATTAAAGGGGGCTGGTTTAACATGAAGGGGAGACTCACAGAGGTAAGGATGTGGGGATTCGCTAAAGCAGCTCACCATTGGGCCAGAGGAAGAAGTCCCAAGTGAGGATGTGAAAAAATAGAAAACCTCACGGGAGCCAGGGAAAAGGCTAACTGTGATTCTGGAGGTATTTAAAATGCATGAAGTTGGTTTATCATGACTTTAGAAACATATGCATTCGAGATGAACTAACAGTAAAGGCCTGGATTGGATTTACGGTGGCAACATTTACAACTCAATATTCTGACTGGAACTCTCTGTAGCATTTCCCTAAGGAAAATAGGAGGCACCTAATGCAATGATGAAACAGGCAACTTTAGCAAATATGCTCGCACTTCAGAAACACTGAAGGGTGTGCAATGAGATTTGTCTCTGAATTTAGAAGATTAAAGTCATTGTCGTCAGTTGAAATCTACATGATATATATATTTTTTTGTCTTATATAATGCTGGTGGTGAAAATTTCTTCTACCATTTAAATAAGATATAATCGAGGCATTTTATGCATAAAATCAAAGAAACAGAATAATTCTTTGGAAATGACATGTATGTGCTCACATAGCATAAACATTATTGTCATCACCAAATAAAAACACTGTCTTCATTTGAACATTTTTAGGTTCATCTTTAATAATTAAATCTAAGTAACTGAAAAGTAAAATTACAAATTTATGAATCAGTGATTTTTCCACTTAAATATGTTAAATGAGTGGTTTTAAAAAACATTAGGCTATCAGGCTAGGTGCAGTGGTTCACACTTGTAACCCCAGCACTCTGGGAGGCCAAGGCAGGCAGATTACTTGAGGTTAGGAGTTCAAGACCAGCCTGGCCAACACAGTGAAACCCCACCTCTGCTAAAAATATAAAAATTAGCTGGGCATGGTGGTGCACACCTGTAGTCCCACTCAGGAGGCTGAGGCACAAGAATTGTTTGAACCCAGGAGGTATGACTGCAGTCAGCTGAGATCATGCCACTGCCCTCCAACCTGGGTGACAGAGGGAGATTTTATCTCAAAAAAAAAAAAAAAAAAAGATCAGGCTAACAGTACTACAACTTATGGATCAACAAGATCATGATTTTCACAAATATCAACATATTGACTGAGAATTATTAGTGTTTAAAGTGATGGTCTCTTCTCTCAAGTGCTGGTTTCATTTATTCTATCAACTGGATTTCCATTAAGGATGATCATGACCTTTTCCTCCTAGTCTTCCCTTTCATTTCTCTTATTTTGTGACTACTTCTCGACTTTCCCCAGTAATGAAAAAAGAAGTCAAAGTAGCCATACTTTGAAGCTTGCGAAAGGCTCTAGAAAATGGTGACTCATTGTAATATAAAAATCCTTGCATAGGCTGCAAGACAGTAAGGCCCAATTATTCATAATAACCTCGTCAGCCTTGAGCTCCATAATCAACCGTGGCTTCCCTAAGTTGCATATTTACTTGCTATTACTGTGTCCTTCAATTCCTCTAATTGCAAATGCAGAATATAAGATGATTGTTGTAACTGGCAGCTCCGTGTAAAAACACTACATGGGATTATATTACTATAAACATAGTCTTTAACCATAATGTGATTATTTCATGTTTCAAGTTTAAACTTTGTGAGTGCAAAAAATTTCTTTTGCTGACAGCTTGATTAATAATTTAGTTCAAAAACAAACATGAATTTTTGGATACCCATGAATATTTAAACACATCTTTAAAAAGCTGTAAGGTTGTGCAACAGATGTAGCATCTACACCTTGGGGCATGTGTCAAGCGTTGAAAGCTCTGAATTACTCATTCACCTGGGCATATGCCTAAATATGTCATTTGTGATCATTGGTAGATAAAGATCAGTTTACATTTATTATTCACTAGAGGCACATTTTTTAAAAGTGGTACCCATTAATTCCATGATGAAGAAACAGAGAAACTTGCCATTCCCCCAGGGTGGGGACCCAGAAACCCCAAGTCCTGTCCCCAACGAGTTGGTGAGGAAATATTCGAAGGGATCCAAAAGTTCTTGACCAAGAAATGTGAACAGCCATGTTTGGCACAGCCATGTTTGGGGCAGAGCTTGGTACTTAGGTGGCTGTGTGCTCTTGAATAAGTCCCTCAGCTTTTATGCATCTGAGTTTCTGGTTCCACAAAATGAAATGGCTGGATTAGTCACCAAATAATCTGTGGAGTTCTAAAATGATTAGAGACCATACTAGCAACTGCTTGCTTGTGTTGATCAAAGTCCTGTTTTCTAGGTTGTTTGGTTGGGACAGATCAAATGAGTTCTTTCTGCTGTATACATGACACCAAAATGACAATAAAGATGCTTTTGAGAGGGGTGTGGTGTCTCAGGCTGTAATCCCAACCATTTGGGAATCTGAGACTATAGGATTGCTTGAACTCAGGAGTTTCAGACCAGCCTGGGCAACATAGGGGGATTCTGTCTCTACAAAAGATTAAAAAATTAGCCAGATGTGGTGGCATGTGCTGGTAGTCCCAGCTACTCAGAAAGCAAAGGTGGGAGGATCATTTGAGCCCAGAAGGTTGAAGCTGCACTGAGCCATGATCATGCCACTAAGGTCCAGCCTGGGTGACAGAGCAAAACCCTGTCTTCAAAAAAAGGAGAGATGAGGCCAGGCATGGTGGCTCAGGCCTGTAATCCCAGCACTTTGGCAGGCCAAGGTGGGTGGATCACTTGAGGTCAGGAGTTTGAGACCAACCTGACTGACATGGGGAAACTCCTTCTCTACCAAAAATACAAAAAAAAAAAATTAGCTGGGTGTAGTGGTGGGTGCCTGTAATCCCAGCTACTTGGGAGGCTGAGGCAGGAGAATCACTTGAACCTGGGAGGTGGAGGTTGCAGTGAGCAGAGATCACAACATTGCACTCCAGCCTGGGTGGCCAAAGGAAAAAAAAATAGAGAGAGAGAGAGAGCTGCTTTTCTTCCTAACCTACTCCCAATACCATTAATAGCAGGAGTCTATTTAGCTTAATTTTGGAGGATATTCAACTGTGACCCCTGGAGAAAGCCTACTTGGAAAGTAAGATCTTTGGGTAAAGGATAACTATTTAAGAAATGAATGGAAAATGAGGATGCTTCTCAGTCTTTTTTCTTGTGGAAAATAATACACAGTCCACTGTTTTTATTCTAACTTGTTATGTGTAAATAATGACCCAGTAGGATCATTACCTAAAATATCCAGAGCGTCTGTCTATGGAGGAAAGAACACTTGAGAGGGAATTGGGAAAGCTCTAATATGAAGTATTTCCTTCAACTCTTATGACCTTGATCAGGTCTCTCCACCACCTTTTTGGGCCTTAGTTTCCCTAACTCTTAGATAAAATGGTGGATGGAATCATTTCTAATGTTCTTTTCAGATGTAGCATTCAAAAATCTGTGGGGGAGGAGTTTGTCCTCATTTTTATAAACTATACCGTGTAAATGAATTGTAGAAAACCAGATAGTGAAATCATCTGACTGGGTGAAATAAGCCTACTGATCAGGACAAGTAATCTGCTTTCTTCACTACAATATAGAGAAATTAGAATTTTGTACAAACTCTGTGAAAGTGATATAATGGGGAAAAAAACCACTCTAAATGCAATATAGCAGGTAAAAAAACCAAACAAACCCCAAAACAAAGAAACAAACAAAAAATCTCTAATGCAATATGGCAGGCAAAAAATGATGTCACAACTTACCTTACATCATTTAATTCATAATAGACATTTCTGCTTTCATCTTTGATGTAAATGGCGACACTGGGCGACTCCAGCATTTTCATGGTGAGCTGCTGCGGAAAGGCACTTACAAAGAGAGCACGGATTGTGTCTGCACTTGTGATTTCATTCGGCATCCTGAGATGCTTGGTTTCATCTCCATACTGGAGATAGAGAACCCCTGCACACAAAGGAAACACTTACTAGTCCTAGGTCAAGACTTATGGGACACACAGCACAAGCTGAGCCACTTCTTTCCTGCTGCACTTAGGAACGTTCAGGACAAGCTTGGCAAGCATGAAACAAGAGATCTTCGTTTGGAATTTCTAAGGAATGTACTGCCTGGTTATTGCATAAGTACCCACTTTCATTCTTTGAAGTCCAAGCAGGTGTTAAAGAGCCTAATTTTCAACTATTTTAAATTCAAGGGCTGGGTGCAATGGCTTATGCCTGTAATCCCAGTGCTTTGGGAGGCCATGGCAAGACGATCGCTTGAGGCCAAGGGTTCAAGACTGGCCTGGGAAATATAGTGAGATCCCATCTCTTTGAAATTTTTTTTAAAAAATTAGTTGGGTGTGGTGGCACATGCCTGTAGTCCCAGCTACTCAGGAGGCTGAGGTGGGAAGAACACTTGAGCCTAGGAGTTGGAGGCTGCAATGAGCTATGATTGCACCACTGCACCCTTGCCTGAGTAACAGAGTGAAACCATGACTCAAAAACAAACAAAGAAGAATTCAAGAAGCTAACCTCTGGTAGCCTAAAGCAAAAGATAATACTTGCTCAGGTGTGGTCACTCATGCCTGTAATCCCAGCACTTTGGGAGACTGAGGCAGGCAGATCACTTAAGATCAAGAGTTTGAGACCAGCCTGGCCAACATGATGAAACACTGTCTCCTCTATTAAAAATACAAAAATTAGCCAGGTGTGGTGGTGGGTGCCTGTAATCCCAGCTTCTTGGGAGGCTGAGGCAAGAGAATTGCTTGAACCTGGAAGGCAGAGGTTGCAGTGAGCCAAGATTATGCCACTGCACTCCAGCCTGGGTGACAGAGTAAGGCTCTGTCTCAAAAAAAAAAAAAAAAAAAAAAAAAAAAAAAGACAATACTTAATTCCCTGGAAAGGTATATTTAGTAGTCTGACCTCACAGAGTAATTTTTTTTTCATTAACTAGGAATACAATAATTACAGTCCTGGGTAAGCTATACAGCTTAAATCTTTCTAGTCCATTCAGAAACAGTTTCAGTGGAAATGTGACAAGATTTCTGTGGTTCTAATACATATTTATTGAATGTTTATATCATGCTAAACTATGTATAAGAAAAGAATCCGGCACCTCAATGTTTCAGAAATAAAATGGAAGAACAGGATCCCAGAGTTCCCAGGGGGTATGTGGCCCCCAGCGCACCCTACCTCCTAGCCCTCATCCCTCTGTGGAGAGCAGTGCCGTCCCACATTGATTCGGGGCTTGGCTGTGTGACTTGCTTTGGCTAATGGGATATTAGTAAGTGTGATGCAAAAGGAAAGCCTGATATGTTTTTATACCCTGGAGTTTGTCCTCTTAGTGAGCTTGGTCATGGGATGTTCCCTTTTAGAACTCAGCTACTGAGGAGTCCAACCTAGCCACAGGGGGTAGTCACATGCTGAGGAACCACCCCATCTAAGGGCCCATTCTACAGCTGGAACCACTGAGGTTATGTGGATGAGCCATCTTGGGAGTGGACTCCCCAGCCCCAGGTGAGCTACCCCAACTGATGCCAACAGAAATGAGATGCTCCCTCCAAGCAGTGTCTAAATCGCAGAATCATAAGCAAATAAATGACTTCCCTGTGAAGTCACTAAGGGTGATCAGAAACGGGTAACTGAAACAGGGCATCTACAATCCTGACACTGAATTTCAGTCTTGCTTTTTGTGAGACTCTACTGGGATGAACTACTACCACTGGAGTAAGCTTTGGCAAGAGAAACTCAATCGAGACAAGAATGACTTCCGGTTCAACATGGCAGCTCATGTAATACATTTGTCTCTGCTTCCTCCGGAAATGCCATTACGGTGACAACAAGGGAGAACAAAGCATACATCAAAGAAGTAAGGGAATGAGGGAGGAAGCAGACAAGAGCAAGCTGATACCTAAACCTTCGAGAGAATAACTCAACGTACAACACGCTGAGCCAGGGAAGCTCAGGAGATGGGGCTCCCGACCCTTCTGAAGGTAGAAAGGCAGAGTGAGTTGGACGCATGGCGCCTGATGGAACTTTATTTTAAAATGGTGTAGCACAGGGCTCCCTAGCCTTCAGGCCGCAAGCCAGTACCTGTCCTTGCCTTGTTAGGAACCAGGCCACATAACAGGAGGCGAGTGATGGGTGAGCGAGGGATTCTTCATCTGTGTTTACAGCCGCTCCCCACTCCCTAAGCGCCGCCTCCAGTCAGATCAGCGGCAGCGTAAGACTCTCACAGGGGCGTGAACCCTACTGTGAACTGCGCATGTGCAAGATCTAGGTTGCGCGCTCTTTATGAGAATCCCATGCCTGACGATCTGTCAGTGTCACTCATCACCTCCAGATGGAGCTGACTAGTTGCGGGAAAATAAGCTCAGGGATCCCACTGCTTCTACATTATGGTGAGTTGTATAATTATGTCATTATATATTACAAAGCGGTAATAATAATAATAAAGTACATGCTAAATCTAATGTGTTTGAATCATCAGGAAACCATCTCCCCGCAACCCTGTACATGAAAAAATTGTCTTCCACAAAACCGGTCCCTGGTGCCAAAAAGGTTGGGGACCAGTGATGTAGCAAATGCCCATCTCTTTTCCCAGCCGCACTCAGCCAAGTAGCCACACATCACATCCACAGAAGATGGAAGAGCCCACACGAGACACACTGGATTCGGGCTGATCAGGAGTAGGGGAGAGGGCTGATGTGCCCTCCAACCGAATGCTGGAAAAGGGGCTAGCACCTTAGTCAGGATACTGGAGGGTCCCCTCTAGGAATGCTGACCGATCCATGAGAAGAGACAGACTTTTGTGTGTATGTGAAAGACAGGGTCTTGCTCTGTCACCCAGGCTGGAGTGCAGTGACATGATCAGGGCTCACTGCAGCCCCAACCTCACAGATTCAACTGATTCTCTTGCCCCAGACCCCCGAGTAGCTGGGGCCATAGGAGTGCACCACTATACCCAGATAACTTTTTGTATTTTGTTTTAGAGATGGGGCTTTTTCATGTTGCCTAGGCTGGTCTTGAATTCCTAGCTCTAGCAATCTAACCACCTTGGACTCCCAAAGTGCTGGGATGACAGGCATGAGCCACGGCGCCTGCCCTGACAGAGTTTTGAGGGTCATATTCAGCTTCTGTTTGGTCACCCCATAGTGAAGCAGCCGGACCCATGTATAAAACTTCCCAATATTACAACCATGCCTCATTCATGCATTAGCTGACTCCCAAGATTTCACAAACACTTTAATAAAAGCTTCTAACACAAATGAAAACACTCAAAGAAACAGGAAGAAGAAACTCAGAAGAGACCAAACAGTCCAGTAAAAGGGGGAGTGTTTGGAGGATAAGACCAGACTCTGGGAACCATGAAAGCAGAATTTAAAAATTCAGTGAAGAAGAAAAAGTTGATGTAATCTCAGAAAGTGGAGCCAAAAAAACAAAACAAACAAACAAGCAAACAAAAAGGACTGAGAGATGGGAAAAGAGAGAAGAGCAATATGAAAAATATAATGATGTCAGAGCACCAAGATCTCCAGTAATGAAGATTTGGGTAAAACAGATCAGAAAAAAACAGAGTTTTTCAAAACAATATTATAAGAATGTTCTTTTTTCCCTGTAAACTGAAGGACATGAGATAGCAGATTGTAAAACTTCATGAAATGTTCAACACACAGATTTGTCACTGAGACATTCCAGAGGACAGGAGGAAAACAGAAAATCCTAAAAGCTCTCGGAACAGGTAAAACATCACATAGGAAGGATCAGTTACCAGAATGCCATTAGCTTTCTCAGCAGCAACTTCAGAAACCAAGAGATAATGGAGCAATGCCTTTGAAAACCTAGAGATAAATATTTTTGATCTAGGTCTAAACCTATCCAAACCATCAGTCAGTTTTCTATTAAAGTTGGTTTCTCAGTGAAGCATTCTGTGGCCCCCTTGGCTAGAATTTTAGTATTCATTCTCCCTACTATTTCATACTCTCATTTTTGCTTTATGTCTGTTTCTTAGCATTTTCTACTATATGTTATAATTCATATTGTAATTCATGATATTGCTTATGCTTATGATCAGTTTCTCTTGCTAACATGTAAGTTTCATGAGCTCAGAGATTTTTTATTTTTTATATTTAAAGAGATGGGGTCTTGCTCCGTCACCCAGGCTGGAGTGCAGTGGTGTGATCATAGCTCACTGCAGCCTCAAACTCCTGGCCTCAAGTAATCTTCCTGAGTAGCTGGGGCTAAGGGATTTTTTTTTTTTAAGTTTTTGTTGTTTGCAACTGTATCCTTAGTACCTATTAGACTACAAGTTATGAAGTAGGTTCTCAATAAATATTTGTTGAATGAATGAATGATTTATTAGTCATTGAAAAGGAATGTCTCATTTGTGGGTCTATCCGAGCTTTTGCTAGATGATGTAACCAGCCTAGTAACCTTGCCTCTGGTGTGTGTCCACAGTAGAAATACATTCTGAAGTGGCTGTTTCCTTGACTAGAGCAGTCCTTTCATGTCAGGCATAAGAGCTCCATGTCCCCTCTCCACCTGTGTTGACCCTCAGCTTTTTCAGGGAACTAGTTTTCCAGAATCTCCATGCTGTTACACATTTCTCAGAATGCAGAGAATACCTTTTAAGCCTGTCTGATCACAGATCATGCAATGTTTTGGCCCCAAGTGGGAGGTGTGGTGATTGTCCCATGTGATTGCTATGCTATATCAAAAGCCAAAACCACTCTTGAGGTCCATGATCCAGCCATGCCTGGGCGAGGTCACTGCAGAAAGGCCACTAATGGCCTCCGAACAGTTAAGTATCGCAGCTTGGCTCCCCCAGATGGTCTGGTTTTCATCCCCACATCTGCATTCTGTACATGCGTGTGCTTGAAATAGAATTTGTAGGCTTTGGAGTAGGAAAAAAGTGGGCCTAAACTAGAGTTACCTCAGGGTCTGGCTGGTGCAGCTGCCAGCTGGGTG